TAACCTAACCTAACTTAACCTAACCTAACCTAACCTAACCTAACTTTTTGGACGATTTCCCACGTTTTTCGATTTTTCGAAAAATTGAAATTTTCAAAAATTGTCTAAATTTTCAAAAATTTAAAAGTGGCTGCAAATGGCATGAAACGCGAAGAAAACTGAAGATTTTTTAAATTTTCGAAATTAAATTTGAACTAGGAGTAACGTGAAAAAATAATAGTAATATATGTATATATATATATATATATTTCATAATTTGATCTCCCGATCTTGATTGGGTCGGGTGCAAAAACTTACGAGCCTTTAATATATATTAATATTTCTCACGATTTATATAATTACATCGCATTTTATTATTGACAACACTGGATAGACGGACAGCAGACAATCTTTTGAGGATTCACAGTAGAGTGAATCTGCAAAACAGTTCTGTGTATGAAAAAGGATGGTCTCATTATCAATAAAATCATTTAAAAGTAGTCTATGTACTGCAGTTGGGTAAATCTCTTGCTGTCTATAAGGTTGAGTTTGTTTAGACATCCGGGCAAAATCCACCGATAATAGGGATAATATTCCGCTGGTTTTACGTGTTATCGGCATTTCCCTAAATGGTATGTTACGTCACAAATGGGGGCAGGTGATGGGAGAGAATTTGGTTTTAATACTGAAGAAACTGAGAGTTAATAAATGCTCGCAGTTCACGCAATTTCGTGCAGACCGGACGATCTGATAAAGTAAATAGTACAGTACTAATTAAAGCTAATGCACTACATCAGTATCATATGTGTTTATAAAACCCCACAACAACATTATTTTTTAATAAAATTATAGTGCATGTTAGCGTGGACTAGATGAGACAACCTACTGAGGAAATAGAAATAAGAAATGAGTACAAAATTTTTGTTGTAAACTCTGAAGGGAAGAGACCACTCAGAACACCTAGGAGTAGATTATATTTAAATGGATCTTTAGGAAATAGGATGATAGAAAATTGACTGGGTTTTTCTGGCTGATACAGGGGCGGTTTCAAGCTCTTGTGAACACGGTAATGAACCTTCGGATATTATCACAGATGAGGATTTTCTTGTCTAGCTGAACGTATTATCAGTTTTTCGAGGACTCTGATCCACAGAGTTAGTTATAGAGAAACGAAGTCAAGAAACACTGCAGAAATGACAATCATGTTTACTTCATCTTTTAATATAGGCCCAAAATTTATGGTAGGCATACTGAAATTTATTACGCACTCTTTATTCGCGACTGAAATAAACCGATGAATAAGGAATTACCATGCCCAGCTCTAAGCACAGTAAATTCTTCGATGAGGTAAAGATGGTTGTCTCTTGGGTTGTAACACTGTATATTCTGGCAAAAGTTTACAAACATTTCAGAGGTATTTGCTGCCTCCATCATCAGGGCGTCGTTGCAAACTAGAAGACAGCCATATTTGTACTCGCCGCTGTGAGAACCTAAAATTCTACGATGAGACGTCTTTCCGTTAAATATCTGTCATCTGGCAGAATTTCTAACCAACGAATTTATGGTTTTCTTCTGTCCCTCCACCAAATACCGCGTCCACTTCCGTCCGAGTCTTTTATTCACTAAAATCCAAGAATAAATAAAATGTGCCATTTCCCACAGCTTTGGTTCAATTTAAAAAAAATCAGTCTGGAATCTGAGGTAAAAAATTTGTTCTTTCCAAAATATTTCGGTTTCCTTCTGCCATTGTTTGATCCTTCAGCAACTTCTGGTTGCGTGATGTATCGGACCAGCTGGATAGGTACCTCCGAAGCGACACATGGCAGGAGCCAATGGAGAAATTGGTGTATCGGTAACGAAGAGGTTTAGAATAGGTATTGCAAACAGTTATGTTACCGACTCAGTAGAAGCTAGTGATACATGCTTCTCCTGGGCTACTGCAACATGCCAAACTAATTCCTGAATTATGATAATCGTAAGGGCAAAGGCTTGGATGAAGCGAAGGAGAAACAGATATTTAATAACGAGAAGGCGTTCATAAAGAGGTTAGCAATGAGGTTATTAAACTGGTTAGCTATTAGGAGTAGTAGTGGAAGGGGGGGGTGTATGCTGTAGGTTGAGCGCTTCGCGTGAAAGCGTCAGTTGACTTGAAGAGTCCGTCAGAAGAAGGTGCGTGATGCTCTAAGGCTTTGTGCAGATGTGGTGAACTACAATGACCGCCATGCTCCATGTGATTCTATTAATGTTTTTCGTGTTTTCGACACTGAGAACAGGTAAATGCTTGTTTTGCTTTATATTTATATTAGAATATATATATGTACTTTTATTTGTCTCGGTTGCGCATGTTAGAAGCTCCTGGCCTTCGAGTGATGGAAGCCCCGCCTCTTTTAAGAAAATAAATGTGAGTCAACAAGTATGGTAGTATGCGGAAACTAGGAGCGGCGAGATGTGACGTGATGTCATTTTAAACGTACAGGACATTTAATTTGTATTCGTATGTTATTATGAAGGTTCAAAATTTTAGGAACAACTGGAATTGATTGAAATGCTCATGGACGCTGCTCTGTGGAGTTACGTATTATTTTAGAAAGTATATTATTATTATTATTATTATTATTATTATTATTAATTTAATTTAATTATTATCCCATCTATTCACCACTTTATGGGGTATGTACTTCTATGTACCAGAGATAAACCTTGCCTCTGAGGTACATAGTGCAGCAGCTATTTCCGAAATACATTTTGTTTTTAATGTGTTTTTCATATATTATATAGTTTTATTGTGAGTGATGACTATATATTTTACAACAGCGTTTTTCGAATGATGTATGAAGATCATAAAATGACAGTTTTCTGCAGTTCCCTGATGTAGTGTTCGCCCGGGATGTTGGCCAAATATTTTCTGAGTCACCTGGAGACAGTTCCTGTTGCCCCTATAATTATTGGGATTACTTTTGCGTTCACTTTCCACATTCGCTGTATTTCAAGATCTTCTCCGCTTCCTTCTTAATTACATCTCTGTCAGTTGGTATTGCTATATCAATTAAGAGGCAAGTTCCATCAACATTTTTTGTCCGTATCTGTTTTTAATATTCAGATAAAGTGCATCGTTAGCCAGCCTCAGCCAGAAAGAATATCGCGGCGAGCTTAAGCCATAATTAGTTGGCTAACAGCGCCTGGCTGACGGGATCTGGCTAATGCTGCAATAAATATATCTGATGGGTTCTCCTGTGTTCCAGTGTGTGGAATGCCACTGACCACGAAATTAAGACAGAAGACTTTTTATTTTTCGTTTTTCAAAGTGTCAACCCGGCCAACACGGTTAACATGAACGCTCTGCACCTGCGATTTGTACAATACTTATCTTACAGTTTGTTCTAATCGCATTTGTTTGTTCTCCGCGTCAGAATGACATGCGATTCCCAGTGGATTTTCCGTTTCGCAGTTACAGTGCTAAGGATGCTAGACCTTGTATTTATTTTCACAAGAGGCTGTGAATGTAATTATTATAAGAGCAAATCATTTTAAAGCTTGTCATACCCGATTCGTTGCCAAACTTAAGGACTATTAAGAATCCAAGTTTTCCTGGTTCATCACTTTTTCTCTCAGAGTGTATTTCTCTAGTTCCAACTTTCTGATAAATGAAAAGTTTTATCTGCAGCCAAGTAGCACTCCATGAGACTAAATTAGGCAAGTGAAGGCTCGGCTCCAAGAAATTTTAACCTCGGAATATCATTCAGACTACACGGCGCTACAACACAGAAGACAGTCTTCTTCGTACTCACCGCCGTGAACACCTCAAGTCCTACACATTTCTTTTTGTTCAGCCCCTTCCTTGTTGGACAACTGTTATGTACTATAATCGCTCTTTAAGGTGAAGTACAGCTTCTTAATTATTCAGTAGTTTATCAGCAGACTTATAAGAAGACCGGTTTGATCATTGGCTTGTGTTGCGTTCCTCTAGTTGACAAACCGTGAGTGGTTCGTCACATTCACACTTCAGGTATGCGACTTACTTCACCTATGAATCTTACGTGGTATGACTACAAGGAAGGAGGGGGGACTTCTGTTCTCAGTACAGAAACATCAAGGAAGACTTTCATAGTCCTGCTGAGTCATACATCGGCACACTTTACTTTTTAATCTGACAATGAAATACCGTGAACAAGGCTGAAATTTATACGTTAGACTTAAAAAGTAACAAGTGATTCAGTTCTGTGCACTGATCTGTCACCAATAATTAGGTCCTTTGTTACCTGCGTCTTCTGGTTGGGGATAGAAATGACGATTCCAGGTAGCCCGTAAGGGAGTTGATTTCCAGCTTTGGGGCTGGGAAGGCGGTAATGACGTTTCGCAGTAAAGAAGCAGCGTGATGCGAAATGTTGGGACTACGTCGTTCCTTCCTCAACTTAACCAGAGTGAATCTTCCTTGTAGCGAATGGTACATTTCATTGGTTAGTTCCAGCGCAAGCAGGAAGATAACACCGTTGTTTCTTCAAATGAACATCGAAGTACGCAAACTGAAACCCTTCATAGCAGCCAGTAGCAAACAAAAAGGCAATCATCTAATTTTGACAACAACAAAAATTGATGGTCCCTACAGTGCCGATGGAAAGTGAGAGCGATGATTTTAAAAATTGACCTGTTGACCGATAAAATTATTCACGTAAATGTGATAGTTCGACCTTGTTTTTGTTCTCTGCAGATGCGACTGAATTGTTTTCTACAGCACCAAGTCGACAACGGCTACACACGCAGTCTCTTGTTTACCAGATATTGTCTATTTTCCCCCGGGGTTAAAGTCAGTCGCATTATGAAAAGACCTCTCACTATTTGTAGGGTGGAAATCCTTTGGGTTTTGTCTCTACGTCTCTTACACACGTCCACTGATGTCGTTTTATGGTTATCTTAGCTTCATACGTTATTTGCAATTAAAAAGTATATCCCGGTCAAGGCGAATGGTTGTATGGCGAGAAATGGAACTTTTCATTGAACAAAAGTTACTGTTGTACGATCTTACCATTCTGTTTATTAGTAGGACACTTTAGCGTCCTTACTGGCTAGATAACAGAATGTTACTCTAAAAGCCCAAGGTAAGAGCCACTTGTGAGATTAAGCTCAGGTTGGAGAATAATATTAAAATGAATAGGATTTGAGTTTCTCACGACGAGGAGTACGGTGTTGGCCGTCTTCCGGATTGTAGCGCCGTGTAGTCTGGTAAAAGGTTTATTAACGTTTCAGAGTTCCTTACTGCCTCCATTATCAGGACGACGCCTGTATGACAGAACTCAGACGACAGCTATCATCTTAACATGAAAATGGAATTAGGATGTGAAGGTATGGACGGTATTCACCTGGGTTGGAATGCGATTCACTGGCGGGCTCTTGTGAACATGTAATGGTCTAGTCTAGTCTAATAGAGATATTTCTTAGCCAGGTGAACAACCGTCATCTAATTCGTACTTACTGCTTGTACTGGGTTCTGATTGCGGTGGTAGATACGAGAGTTTGTAAGAACTGATGTGGAGCTTCGTTAGTGTGGTTAGAGTATTCGTGCCTGAGCGATGTGATCTAGGAGGTAATGCACAGTGTTATTTCATAGTAAGAACTTTTGTATTCTTCTACTTTTGTTAGAATGATTAAACTAAGGAATTTGAAAAGGATTGGACACGTAGTGCAAGAAGAGAGAAATCCAAGCGTGAGGCTTGAAGAAAAGTGTTGATGAGACGAAAATATGTTAAGAGAATGTGAATTCGGAATTTCCATTTCCGTCTTTGACATCTAGCGAGCTTTTACAAACGCGCTGGTTCTTTCGGATGCTGGAATCTAGGGTTGGGGATGTCCCAATAGGTGACATTGTATGAGGGTGTTGAATTCAGTTCATTATAACCATTGATACCCGCATCTTCGTAATGAACTAAGCAATGATATTTTGATTCTGAGGTAGTGTAGTGAATGCTGGTAGAATTTCAGCACAGTTGCGCCTACTGCAATACATCTTATATCCTCGAGTTTAGTTTACAAGATATAAATATTATGTAATATCAGCGGAATATACCTTGGCAAACACCGACGATTCATGAAGACGGTATTTGTAAATATCGTATAAGCTACAGAGATGCGTTATCTCATTTCAAGAACGCGTTTTCAGAGAGACAGCATTCAACTTGTTTGTCTTTAGCAACGGAGTCTTATGTGGATCGCATCTAAGCGTTGATGATGAGAACTGAACTAAGTCTGAAGATGATTTACACGTGCATCCTCTATCTTGGTTTTTATTCTATATTCTTGTATGAGAAATAAATATCTGCATTTATATCGCCCTACCGAGCGTCGATGTCTAGTGGACTCGGGTTAAATTATCTGCCTCTAGGTCCTAAGGAGTTATTTTGTGTCTTTCGTTATTCCTTCCCGAAGAATTCCAGGTAATCTCTTAAATTTACTATAAACAATTTCCTTCCAGATGTTTTCCAATTTGTTATTCGCACTCATTCTACCAATCGATGCTAATAATTTATATAGTTGGGAAAACGCCATGGAGTAAAGTAGGAAACATACAGCATGTGGATTTAAACTACATGAGAATAATTGTTAATCATGCCTAATGACTTATGTAATTGCTGTAGCAGCCGTCTTTGAAATAAATGTTTCATTAATTTAATAATAAAATTAAATCATATAGGCCAGTGGTTTACCGTTGAGCATTACGGTACTTCACGCTATTTGTAAATTTGTTAAGCATTTTATAAAATAAATAGTAGATTCAATAAGAAGGCTTAAAATGGCATAGAGTGATCAAATCAAGGAGGATGAGCTTGACCAGGTATGTAGTGCAGGGGAGGACAATATTAAAAAGGATGTTAAATACAATTTGAGGACGTGGGTTCAGGATTGAGACCAGTCGCGGTAAAAAGCTTTCTGGCTCCTTAAAAGGCCAAGAAATTCTTGACTAGCTGAATGGCTATTCATTTCTAAAGAAGGGTTCTGCTTTATTCAATTAATTAGCTTTTCAAAACAGCACGCAGTAGCAATTTGTGCTTCTCAGTCACTTGAAGGAAGGCGTTACTAAAGAATTAAGGAAGTGTAACTTTCAAGATATTGTTTTTTCTGGTGGCATTTATATGCAAAATTAAAGACTGCCATAAATATTTTTGTGAAAAGCTTAAAAATGCATGCAAATGTCGGCTCATTTATAAAATAAATAAAAAATAGAAAAGTCGTGTGCTTCCAGGATATGAGTTGTTTGTTTAGATTCATCGCAGCTAAGTTT